CCTGCTGAATTCATATAAAACTTGGAAGGATAATGGTATGGACTATGGACTTTGTATTTGGTTTCATCATGAGTGCTAAGAAAAAATTATTTTATTTTTAGTAGGTTAAATCATATTTCAAAATTGTTATTTCATACTAAGTCTTAAAATTATTGTTGCATGTTACATTTTTAAATTATATTTTAATGAAAGAGCTAAAATATATTGTTTACTAAAAAATTGTTTGTTTTGAGAGGCAAAATTAACATGATAATTATAGAAAATTCTTTGGAAAAATATGGGAATATATCTTAAAATATTCAATCATTTAGGAAATATTTGCCATCAGAGGTTGTTTTTCGTACTTGCATGACACTCAAAGTCCATTGGTGCACTGGATTGAAGGAATAAATGTGTAATTTTATAAAATAAAGATAAATAAAATTACTTTCTTTAATAAGTTTGTTATACATTTCTTTCCCTCGTTTAATATATATCGGTCCCATAAAATTCAATTTCAATTAACCTTTAAATTAAAGTTTTATTTGATACACTTGGAAATTAAAATCTATCATCAAACCCAACATAATCCACGACTTTTGTTTAAATAATTATTGAAGTTCCTATTGAAATCACGGATAGTCGCAAATTGAACTACAAAAATCTTTTGTACATGACTTGTGAACTATACTACATATAGCCGCAAATTACAATAAAGTTCACCGTAGGACGGTCCAAATGTCACACGAGTAGTCTAGATTTGTAGGTATGAATCAGTTCTTGTACCAGTAAGGTGAACTACTATTAAATAGAGAATCAACGACTAATACCTGAAACCTTGAATTGCAACATTTAAACTAGGAATCTACCGAAAATCCTACCCGTTTAAATATAAATCTAAACACATAAAACAACCTAACAATGGGAAGTCATATTACTAGAGAATGTATTCAATCTCATATATTTTACAATAAACATGACCGCAATATTAAAAATTAAAAATAAAATAAAACTTTTAAAGGAAAATTTGTTTATATATTATTTTGCAGTTGAGTTTTTTGTCGAGTGCAGTGATATAGATCACAAATTGATGTAGAAATAAGTTGAAATATTTATATTATAATGATGGTCAGAGCAATTTCTGTTGAAGATTAGATAACGGAAAATAGAACTAGTTAGTTTGAGAATGTATAATATTGGTAGAACATATGATAATAAGTTACAACAACAATAACAACAAGAAGCCCGCAATATTAAAAATTAAAAATAAAATAAAACTTTTAAAGGAAAATTTGTTTATATATTATTTTTCAGTTGAGTTTTTTGTTGAGTGCAATGATATAGATCACAAATTGATGTAGAAATAAGTTGAAATATTTATATTATGATGATGGTCAGAGCAATTTCTGTTGAAGATTAGATAACGGAAAATAGAACTAGTTAGTTTGAGAATGTATAATATTGGTAGAACATATGATAATAAGATACAACAACAATAACAATAAGAAGCCTTTATCCCTGTATGAATCCTTTTTCTCTATTGTGCCCTATTGAGTGCCTTATTTTTATTTAATTCTAATAAATTAAAGCCATTTTGTACACAATATGTCCAAGCTCTTTTAGGTCTACCTCTATCTTTCTTATCATAAATCAAATTTAAAACATCTAATCTCCTAATTGGGTCATCAGATGATCGACATTTAATGTGACCAAACCATCTAAGGCGACTCTCTCTAACCTTGTCTACCATTGGAGCTACTACAACCCTTTCACATATATATTTGTTTCACATTTTGTCTCTAAGTGTAAAGCCACTCATCCACCTGAGCATTATCATCTCAGCAATGCTTAATTTAATGTTATGCTTCTCTTTTACAGGCCAACATTTTATGCCACAAAGAATTGCAGGTTTCACCACCATCTTATAAAATTTTCCTTTAAATTTAAGCGGTATATTTCTATCACAATACCGATGCATTCCTCCACTTCAAAAAATTAAATTCTGCTAATAACATCCCCATCTATATCATCACCACTTTGAACAGTAAACTAAAGCATTATCATCTCAGCATTACTTAGTATAATTTTATGCTTCTCGTTTACGGGACAACATTTTGTGCCACAAAGCATTCAGGTTTCACTACCATTTTATAAGATTTTCCATTAAATTTAAGCGGTACTTTTCTATCACACAATAAGCCCGATGCATTCCTCCACTTTAACCAGCTTGAATTCTCCTAATAACATCCTCATCGATATCACCACCACTTTGAATAATAGACTCAATATATTTAAAAAGATCCGTCCTTTTAATAACTTGATCACTCATTGTTGTAACACCACTACTAGATCTACTACTATTTAAATTACATTCCATGTATTCAGTTTTATATTTACTCAAACGAGAGCCTTTAAACAGACCTTCATAATTCAAGTTTCTCCTGAACTCTCTCTAGTCTTATTCACAAGAAAGATATCATCAGCGAAAAACATACAGTAAGGTACATTCTCTTGTAAATGTCCAGTATGGACATTCATAACTATGGCAAATAGATAGGGCCTTAAAGCCAATCATTGATGTAATCCAATCGAAATGGAAAAATATTTTGTCGATCCTCTTTGTTCGAACATAAGTAACAACTCTATTATACATATTTTCTAGAACCCTTCAAAGTACTTTTCTTGGTACCTTATCAAAGCTTTATCCTTGCTGCACTTCTTCATCAAACCTCATAATAAATGTATAGGTTCTTATTAGACTTCGCGAAATGAATCCAAATTGATTTTGAGAAAATTTTGTATCATGTCATAACTTGTGCTCAATTATTCTCTCATATAATTCTAATGTATGACCTATTGCATCAATTTTATTCTTAAAAATATGAACCAATAGATTCTTTCTCCACTCTTCTGAAATCTTTTTTAGTTTTTATAATAATATTAAAAAGTTTAGTAATTCAAGAAATTCCTAGATTTCATAAACATTTATATTTGTATTGACATACTATCAGGTCCCACTGCTTTATCACATTTCATTTTTTTTGAAGTTTCAATAACTTTTGTTTTATTGACGGTAGAAATAAAAAGTTTTGCTATTATTTGTGGTGTTAGGATTAGTGAAGGTGATTGTATTTTGACAATCTTCAATGGATTATCAGGAAATTATAACATGAATAGAATTGAAAAATATTTATGTAAAAAAACTTGATCTCAGATTCAACAATTAGCATATGCAAATGAAGAGCTGTCTTTTTATTTTAATGTAACATCTATAAAAGTGCTAAATTTTTAAGTAAAACAATTTTAATGTATTTAACAATCAGGATCGATTCATGTAGTCCACTTAGTCTAGCGCTTGAGAGTATTATTCTTAACCATAAGGTTGTGCTCAATGCCCAACACATATGGGTCTGTATGCGAGTTAATAATAATAAAAGAAAAGAAAATAATTAAGGCCGACAAAATGAGAGTTGCTTTGCCACAATTCATTTTCTTTGAAGTCAACAAATTTGGTTTTTTCGGCGGTAGAAATAAAATATGTTGTTATTATTTACGATATTAAGATCACTAAGGTCGATCGTATTACTACAATCTTCAAAGAATTAGAAGGAAATTATAACATTAATAGAAGTGAAAAGATATTTTTGTAAGATGAGCTTATCATCTGATTCAACAATTAGGATATGCAAATGAAGAGCTGACTTTTTATTTAATGTAACATTTATGGAAGTATAAAATTTTTAAGTAAAATAATTTTATCGCCTAATTCAACAATCAGGACAGATTTATGTAAGCCCATTTTGTCTAGCGCTTGAGATTCTTATCCTTAACCGTAAGGTTTTGTATTCAAGGCCTAGCACATATGGGTCTGTATGTAAGTTAATAATAATAAAAGAACAAAAAATAATGAAGTCTGATAAATTGAGAGTTCTTTTTTTACTTGTACTACTCACAGATAGAAAAAAATCTTTCAAGGTATAACTCATGTTGTGAATGTCAAGTTCGAAGAAAGTCATAAAACAAATAAAACACATTTTCTAAGAATTTGATGTTCAAGCCAACTATGTTAAGGTATTTGTTGTGGCACAAAAGAGTATTATGATTTTTTGTATTGAATAGTTGAAAAACATATTAGTATAAAAATATAAAGTGGTTGTTGGCTCTCTTTCGCCGATATAGATTTTTTATTTGAAAATTGGTCAATGATTGTTGCATCCTCTTGTCAAGCCTTGTTAGTTGGATGGTTCATTACACCATTGTTTTATATAATTGTTCTAAGACCCGCATCTTAACTTTGTTGTCATATTTGATATTTTTGTTCCATTCTCCAAAGAAATGTTGATTTTTCTATATTCTCCACTGCAGTGCTAATGGATGATCACAAGGAAAACGAAGCCATCTCTGAGCTCTCGAGAGCATTATCTTTCAAACCCGACCTTCAGCTCCTTCACCTGCGTGCTGCTTTCTATGATTCAATTGGCAATACAGCAGCCGCATTACGAGATTGCGAGGCAGCACTATGCATCGAGCCCGATCATGCTGATACACGCGAACTCTACTGCAAAGCTCGTGCACGAGCCGCAGAGCAACAGTAGCAGCACATTTTCCATGTTTTACTTGTTTGAAAAATGCATTTTTGGATGCATTAAGCATGGAGCCAGCCGAAGTGGTGAGGAAAGCGGTATGTATATATCTTAACAGTGAGTCCATTCGGGTTTCATGTCCGAGCTTATACGCTGTAGAGAATTTGCACGCAAATGCTGCTTATTGCTGCCATCAAAATTGAACTTTTTTCATAGGGCGGCTTATTTCTTTTCAGAACGTTTGTATACAGTTTTTTCCATGTTCAAAATTGAATGGGGTACCACATTTTTCCCGGCTCAATTGCTGAATTATTTTTTCAATGATAAAGAATTTTTATTGGTTTCAGGTTGAGGGAGTATTTTAACCATTACTAGATTCCTGCGCCGAAAATAATTTTAGGGCATTTACATAGATACCATCCAATTCTTATCTTTTCAAATGTCTGAACACCTAAACATCACCTTTTACATTTGTACCACCCAAATCTTTCTCATCACGTTAACTTGAAAAAAATTGAAATACTACATTTCGTTCATGGTAAGGTGTAATGTTTGTCAAAATTGAAGTATTGCTGTTATGTATGTAAATAATAGGAATCGATTGGTTGTATGTAATCTTCCAAATATTTCAAATTCCTTATTGTTTGTTACTACTGTATCTTTTGGCCTTAACGGTGTACTTCGGAAATTCAATGGAACGTTGTAAGTGAAAATGTGCGCTCAAACTTCAGGACAGTTTTTCGAAGGGAAAAAATGGCTGTCCTATGAAGATTCAACCACTATATCCTTTAGTTTTTGTGGGTCCCCCGTTCAATAGAATTATATGATATGAAAATATTATGAAGGCTTAAAATAAATATATTCAAAAATTGTTCTTTATTAATATTTTGATACCGTTAAGGATGAGAATAGAAGATAAATTTAGTTTGCTTGAACTCGACCAAGAAGCACGAAGATCCACAAACTAGAAGGATTAGAAGAAATAGATTTCAAATATAAAGTAAGCTTTAGTTCACCATCCTTTTTTTTTTTTCTTATTGCTTTTTGAGTAAAAAATGTGACTTGACTGTTTAGAAAAAGGTCCAAGCATTGAAAAAAAGTTATTTTGTAAGGTAGATTAAATGCTTAGTTAATTTTCGGTTAAATTTTATTTAGATCTATGATTGAGTATTCTTGGGGGTTTATGCTCAAATAGTTAATTTATCTATCTTATCTAAAGGATCAATCTTATTTATGGAGAAAGACCGTACAACTACTTTGGGGAAGGAGAAGTGACACTAGTCGTGGCCCGTTGGTAGAGCAGTCTCTTTCAAGGTCGTAAGTCCCCTCAGGTCACGAGTTTGATTCCCCCTCTAGTCAGTTTGCAGATAGTGAGGGCGGTTCTCGGATAGTTAGGCACATGAGGGTGGCTGGGAGATCGTATGATAGCCTCCGGTCATTTCTTATATATATATATATATATATATATATATATATA